GGGTTATTTGTTGGGTGAACATTGATAAAAAAAATAAAATATTACTACAAACATGAACGCAACAGAAAAGGTCTGATTAGAACATGTTTAGCGTTGTACTCGGTCAGTTATATGCCACGCTTAGGCGATCATGTATTTTTCTATACATGACTGACCTGGAAGATTTTTCCCGCAGTAGGTTACCATTTCTTACTGCGGTAGACCTTATTGAGATCCAAGGCTATAGAATCTGACCTGCTATTTATCCATGTGGGGCGGGAGTGGGAGAAGAGGATTCATATCTTTTTCAAAGGGTATTAGCACATAAGTGAATGTATAGGATTCGAACTCGGCTCTCCGATTCCTCAATCCGAGCCGCTATCCATTACCTTGTGCCTTACATGTAAGAAAAATACAAGGATAATTTAAAAGAAATACACTGGAAATTTTGTTCATTTTGACAAAAGCGCTGTAATTTTAAGAAACTTAAACTCTTTTCTCAAAATACCAAATTTCAAATACTTATATATTTTTGCCTAAATGATATTTTTTTGTTTCTATGAAACAGAATATTTTCTTGTTCCATCGCTACTGAAATGTTGTGCTATTTTTATAGACACAGACTTCTTCGTGTGATGTGTAACATCTGCACGTAGGCAATCATGGCTCTCCACAACTTCTTGTCACAATAAATTCTGTCTCCCTGTTATTTTTCCTAAGCACTGTTTCAGCCATCCACTCACTAACACTAAGTTTATAGGCGTTGTTTTCCTGTGCCACACTTGAGTTCAATAAATCTTGTGAGTAACAGATTTTCGAAGCCCCCTTTCCTCATCATATGCCCTAGAAAGCTCAAAACAAAATTATAAGGATGGCAAAGAATTTGTCAGGGAATGAGTCACAAAACTATGAATCTTTTAGTAAATTTTCAAGTTGTGAGAATTAAATTGATATCGAGGAATATGTGTGTGTGTCTATTGGTGAAATATATTGAAATGCAAACACATCCATATATAGACGAATAAATATACTGGTTAATAAATAAATTGTTCGTTTACTCAAATAGATGTATTAACTAAAAATAACGTTTTAAATTGATAGAAAACTGTCGGATGATAAATAATATCCATTAAATTAGAATATATATATATATATATATATATATATATATATATATATATATATATATATATATATATATATATATATATGTGTGTGTGTGTGTAAAATCGGTGGGTAAAAAATCTTGGTGGGTCTGAAAAAAATTTAAAACAAAAAAAAGAAAGAAAAAAGAAAGATAATACTTTAATTAAAAGGAAACAAGTTAGATTTTATCAGACTTAGGGATTCATTGTTATAATAAAGTTTTTTTTTAACTATATATATATATATATATATATATATATATATATATATATATAGACAATAAAAATATTGCTATTTGGTGGGTAGCCTCTTATTCATACCGAAAAAAAAAAGACACACAATATATATATATATATATATATATATATATATAAATATATATATATATGTATATATATATATTTTATATACATACATATATATATATATATATATATATATATATATATATATATATATATATATATATATATATATATAAAGTCTGTTCGTGGATTTTATTTTTTAATCTTATATATATATTTCGTAGAGTGATAGGACATCGTTAAATTTAATAATGAGAAATTCACAACAAACAGAATAGATAAACTTTGCAATAAACAAAAGCAAGAAAAGGTAAAACAAGTATATATATATATATATATATATATATATATATATATATATATATATATGTATGAACTTTTTAAAATTTTAGAAAATAAATATGTCATTATACGGAGGTAGAAAAAGCGGGCGAATCTGAAAAATAATAGACGAATCGTCTTTTCAAATACGTGTACCCATTTTTTAGAAGCCGTTCCGTTTATTTTAAACACAATTTGAACATGTCGATATATATATATATATATATATATATATATATATATATATATATACTGGCGAAGGCTTGTGAGCATTCGTATCATAAAATGACTGAGATTTAAATATTTTATCTTTTCTATGGTCAGTCAGTAAAGAAACACAAATCAATTTGTGAATAGGTTGAGAACGCACATGTGTCGCACTAAGCCATATTTAGTAAACAACTGTCACTATTATCTTAAGTTTATCGATATACAGACATATATATATATATATATATATATATATATGTGTGTGTGTGTGTGTGTGTGTGTTTGTGTGTGTATAGATAGATATAGCTAGATAGATAGATAGACACACATATTATGAGATTGAATTAGACATATATATATATATATATATATATATATATATATATATATATTGGTTAGGTATTCCTATGCAAGTAAATTTGTCTTACTTGTGAGAAGAACTCTAAACAATGTTGTAATCTTCGTACAAATGATAGAGATATGACATTCATTTACTTACTTACAAATTTGTACAATACATATTGTTAAAGTCTCGCCCT